CACACCAATAACGATAACTATATTAGCGATCACACCAATAACGATAACTATATTAACATTCACACCAATAACGATAACTATGTTAACATTCACACCAATAACGATAACTATGTTAACATTCACACCAATAACGATAACTATATTAGCGTTCACACTAATAACGATAACTATATTAGCGATCACACCAATAACGATAACTATATTAGCGTTCACACCAATAACGATAACTATATTAACGTTCACACCAATAACGATAACTATAACAATGACTATATTAGCGTTCACACCAATAACGATAACTAAATTAGCGTTCACACCAATAACGATAACTATATTAGCGGTCACACCAATAACGATAACTATATTAGTGTTTACATCAAAAATAACTACTATATTAACGTTCACACTACTATCAAAAATTATATTAGTGTTCACACCAATAACAAAAATTATATTAGCGTTCACACCAATAACGATAACTATATTAGCGTTCACACCAATAACGATAACTATATTAACATTCACACCAATAACGATAACTATGTTAACATTCACACCAATAACGATAACTATGTTAACATTCACACCAATAACGATAACTATATTATCCTTCACACCAATAACGATAACTATATTAGCGTTCACAACAAAAACAAAAAATATATTCGCGTTCACACCAATAACGATAACTATATTAGCGTTTACATCAAAAATAACTACTATATTAGCGTTCACACTAATATAAAAAATTATATTAGTGTTCACACCAAAAATGATAACTTTATTAGCATTCACACCAATAACAAAAATTATATTAGCGTTCACACCAATAACGATAACTATAACAATGACTATATTAGTGTTCACACCAATAACGATAACTATATTAGCGTTCACACCAATAACGATAACTATATTAGCCTTCACACCAATAACGATAACTATATTAGCGTTCACACCAATAACGATAACTATATTAGCGATCACACTAATAACCACACCAATAACGATAACTATATTAGCGATCACAACAATAACGATAACTACAACAATAACTATATTAGTGTTCACATCAAAAATTATAACTTTACTAACATTCACACCAATAACGATAACTATATTAACATTCACACCAATAACGATAACTATATTAACATTCACACCAATAACGATAACTATATTAACATTCACACCAATAACGATAACTATATTAACATTCATACCAATAACGATTATATTAGGTTATAACGATAACTAGATAACTATAACGAGAACTATATTTGCATCCATACCAAAGGACAATATTTTAATCGTGTGCTGTAGTTTTGTCATCTTTAGTTTTAAAAATGCTCAAGCTTTTTAAAGGTGGATGGATTCAGATTGGCTTTAAATTTTTTAGCGTTCATAAGCTGGAAAAAAAAGTTTGGAAAGTGATTCCAATGATATTGTACCTCTGTGTTGTTATGGTTATAATTGCAGTGCGGACTTCCCTATTCTTACAGAATTAGAATGATTATTAAGAAGTTAGAGTTACAGTTATGGCTTTTAATGTGAACAGGCCTTTAATTTTGTGTGGAATAAAGTTAATCAATAAGTCTGAATCTACCGCAGTTCTGTTCGCCAATCCGATCAGAGTGGGTTTTGAGAAAGATCTTGCCATTTCTGAGCGTGCGTCTCAGACTACAGCATAATTAATAATAAAGCAGCACGTGCCTCTGTCCTGTCACATCAAATGAAAGTTTGATGTCTTCAGCTGTGCTCTTACATAATGATCACGTGTCGCTCGGTCTTTGTTCATAAACTCCATGAGCACAGAATCGTCTGATGCACCTGCAGTATTTATGACACTCGACGAATCTGCAAACACCCGTCAGGAATTAAAACACTGCAAGTGAACTACACACTCCATTAACTCTTCATGAGAACCTCTTGCCTTTTTCTCATCTACTGATTCTTTTCTCCAAAATGCATCTTTATCTAATCACTGATGTCTCAATACGTTTATTCATATTTAATATATACATAAACGTACATATACATAAACTAGAGTTCAAAAGTCTGGGGTGAGTAAGAATTTAATATTTTAATGTTTCTGAAAGTCTCTTCTGCTCAGAAAGACTGCATTTGATTAATCAAAAATAAGTGTTAAAATAAGTGTTTTCTATGTGAATATCTGTTAAACTGTAATTTATTTCTGTGATCAAAGCTGTATTTTCAGCATCATTACTCCAGTCTTCAGTGTCACATGATCTTCAGAAATCATTCTAATATGCTGATTTGCTGCTCAAGAAACATTTCTGATTATTATCAATGTTGAAGACAGTTGCGCTGCCCAATATTTCTGTGGAAACTGACATGTTTTATTTTTCAGGATTCACAGATGAATAGAAAGTTCAAAAGAACAGCATTTATTTGAAATAGAAATCTTTTGTAATTTTATAAATGTCTTTACTGTCAACTTTGATAAATTTAATGCATCCTTGCTGAATAAAAGTATTAATAAAAAAAAACGAATAAATAAACAAAAATATTAATATTAAAATTCATATTAAAATTTTAAAATAATAAATAAAAAACAAAAATATTTTAAATATATATTTATATATTTAAATATGTATTTATATATTAAATATTACATATATAATTTATAACATATAAATAAATAAATAAATATAGGCCTATATATATATATATATA